GAGTCACATGTAGGTGGGACCAGGTAAGTATGGCTGATTTCTTTCCCTGTAGGGCATTAATCAAACCAGTGGGTTTTTACACCATGCTGTTCAGGAGGTTTTTTACTGAATTCAAATTTCACCATTTGTCATGGTAAGATTTGAACCCATGCCCCCACAACATTAGCCTGGGGTTCCAGATTAATATTAAACTGACACGGCCAGCTCCCTCCTCCTTAAACAGGCTGAGATTCTTTAAGTGGAGCTGTCTACATTACATGATTGACAAACAACCCTGCCACAGCCGTCTACAGCATGCAATGGCTACAAACAACATGGAAATCAAGGAGTGGCAGACAACACATATCTGGTGCAGAAATTAAAATTGCAGTTACTTACTTGGATCTGCATGGGCTCTAGCTGGTTGTGAATTGCGACCCATGTGCCAAATAAATCAGCTGAAACCAGTTTTCCAGCCCTCCAGCAGACATTTCCAAATTCGCAAGTGAGTTAACTATTTCTTGTCCCTTCTGCTTTTGCAACAAAAGCCTCAAATGGCTGGTATTTGTTTGACTTCATTGTCTTTCTAGCCTGGCAAGTGGGTCATTGTCTACGTATTTCTCTAAACTGTCCTCAGCTCTTAACTACTCTGCAGTAGAACTCATACAAAAATGTGTCCTTGTTTAAAACACGGTTATTTCTAATCAGCTGCAATGGGTTAATTATTATCCAGTTTAAAAGTCGTCATCATCTTAAGCACTTTTGGGCAGGAATATCTGTGTCTAATCATTAGTTGCCACCTCAATAATCTACACTGATTGTAAAACTCAGGATTTTGTTCGATAGGAGACAAAGCCTTCGAGTTAAGAGTCCATTCTGAAAATAATATCACAAACAAAACGCTTTCACACGAAAGGCAACGTTGAGGCTTAACAGATCTCAATAATCTCTGATCATTAACTTAATAAATGCTAGTTTAAATTTCAGGGAGTTGCATAGCCACCAAAACATAAACTCTGTTCACTGTAAACACTGCAGCTTCCCATATTTAAGATGTACAGACTAGATTTGTGGATTAAGATCATTGTGGATCTCTGATATTCTTCTTTTGCAACCAGCTGTCACTACTCTATGAATTCCAGCCCCATAAAAGCTACTGCCGTTAGCGTGCAGGAAATTTTTATTTCCCCTGCAGCAGGAACTAGGATGAACTGGGGAAGAACAGTGCTCGTAGGAACCAGTCAGCAACATCAAAGAAAGCTTTCCCCACATAGCTTACAGTCTCTACTGTAAGTGGCAGTGAATTCACGGTCTTATCTACAGATTGCATCGTGTTAGATCCATACCTGATCGTGTGGGAGTAGATGTGCTACAGATGACATCTGCAAACAAAGAGGAAAGGATTAAATAAGAAATTAGTTTAACACAAACCCTAACCTTTCCTCAAACAGAAACACCCTACAGTAGATTTAAAGTGAAGTGGCATCATTTTCAGAAAGGTAATTAATTTCATATCTTCACCAAATCCTAAGATCTTTATCTAATCTTTGCTAGGTTCACCTAACAAAACCTCTAACTATTAATTTAACTGCCAGTCCTTGCCCTGGTCATTTGTTGTTGGTGGGTATTAAATATTCAAACACTAAACCTGTAGGGTCGTCTGCTCTCAGGCCGCTTCTTGAGGACAAAATGCCCATTTATGGCCACTAGCATCTCATAGAGTCATACTCATGGAGTTAAACAGCACGGAAACAGACCCTTCGGTCCAACTTGTCCATGCTGACCAGAATCCCAAATTAATCCAGTCCCATTTGCCAGCATTTGGTCCATATCCCTCTAAATCTTTCCTATTCATGTACCCATCCAGATGCCTTTTAAATGTTGTAATTGTACCAGCCTCCACCACTACCTCTGGCAGCTCATTCCATACACACACCAGCCTCTGGATGAAAAAAGTGCCCCTTAGGTCCCTTTTAAATCTTTCCCCTCTCACCTTAAACCTACACCCTCTAGTATTGGACTCCCCTACCCTGGGGAAAAGACCTTGGCTACTCACTCTATGATTTTATAAACCTGTAGAAGGTCATCCTTCAGCCTCTGATGTTCAAGGGAAAATAACCCCAGCCTGTTCAGCCTCTCCTTATAGCTCAACCCTTCCAACCCCAGAAACATCCTTGTAAATCATTTCTGCATCCTTTCAGGTTTAACAACATCTTTCCCATAGCAGGGAGACCAGAACTGAATGCAGTATCCCAAAAATGTGCTGTACAGCCAAAACATGACCTCTCAACTCTTATACTTAATGCACTGACCAATAAAGGCAAGCATACCAAACTTCCTCCTCCCCATCCTGTCTATCTGCAACTCCACCTTCAAGGAACTATGCTAAAGAATATAGTCATGTATTTCTGAAAAGGCATTCCCTCGTGTCAGAATAAAGCTCCTGTAGTCAATACTCTCATCTTGCAAATCGCTGAGACGTAAACCTGACCTCAAATACAAACCTGACCTCTTATACTAATCTTCCTGAAAAGCTAGCATCAAACTCAAACCTCTGCTCACACCAACTTATCCTTAAGTGCTAACGTGGTCTCTAATCTAACGTCAAATGCTAACCTACTCCAAGACATAAATATACACTCAAATCATAACTCACCTACAAACAAATTGCCAAAAATAACCTATCTCTATACAATCTATACAATGAATACTTTTAAGACTGAAAGGCCAAACACCACCAGAAAATACTAAGCACTCATTAAGTATCAAATTATCCTTAAATACAAATCTATTCTCAATTTACAACCTATTCTGAAACACTAACAAGCCTTCAAGCATTTATTACATCCTTAGACAATTGTTAAAAAAGATGTATTCATTTTTTCTGATGAAGGGTCTAGGCCCGAAACGTCAGCCTTCCTGCTCCTATGATGCTGCTTGGCCTGCTGTGTTCATCCAGCACTGTACCTTATTGTCTCGGATTCTCCAACATCTGCAGTTCCTACTATCTCTGTATTAATTTCAGCTTCGTTTTTCTGTTTTTTTCATCACAGGGCATAATATTTACAGATAATCAGAATCTGATTCAGCTGCATAAGAATTGAACGTTAATAGGGTCAAATGCAGGTGGAAAGCAGTCTAGTGCTAATTCCCTGATCAAACAGTTTGAACAGGCTTGGGGACCGCTTTGTGGAACACCTACGCTCAGTTCACGACAAACAACTGCACCTCCCAGTTGCGAACCGTTTCAACTCCCCCTCCCCCTCCCACTCCTTGGACGACATGTCCATCCTGGGCCTCCTGCAGTACCACAACGATGCCGCCCGAAGGTTGCAGGAACAGCACGTCATATTTTGCTTGGGAACCCTGCAGCTGAATGGTATAAAATGTAAACTTCACAAGCTTCAAAATCTCCCCTCCCCCAGCCGCATCCCAAAACCAGCCCAGCTCGTACCTGTCTCCCTAACCTGTCCTTCCTCCCACCTATCCACTCCTCCCACCTCAAGACCCAACGCCATCTCCTACCTACCAGGCTCATCCTGACTCCTTGACCTGTCCATCCTCCCTGGACTGACCTATCCCCTCCCTAATTCCCCACCTACACTCACCTTTACTGGCTCCATCCCCGCCTCTTTGACCTGTCTGTCTCCTCTCCACCAATCTTCTCCTTTATCCATCTTCTATCCGCCTCCCCCTCTCTCCCTATTTATTTCAGAATCCCCTTCCCCTCCCCCATTTCTGAAAAAGGGTCTCAACCCGAAATGTCAGCTTTCCTGCTCCCCTGATGCTGCTTGGCCTGCTGTGTTCATCCAACTCCACACCTTGTTATCTCAGATTCTCCAGCATCGGCAGTCCCCACTATGTCTTGAACAGGTAGATAATGATCATCTCCTGACCATTTATAATTGTTTAGTTATCATCTACAGATCTCAAAACATTGTTTTAACTTCTTACCATGAGATGAGCGAGGGCTTGAACTACTGACAGGATCTGCAAACAAAGAGCAAATGATTAAATTTAATACCTACAGTGAATTAATACGACTTAAAGGGAAGTTTCCAGTTCCTGTGCAATGGAAGATCTAAAGAATGTAGTCCTTGGTTACCAGTCTAATTTAAATTACAGCTATGGTCTTTTCTGAGATATTTCATTTAAAATCTTCATCAACTCATGAATAGTCTAGCCTGTAAACAGCAACCTTCCTTAATGTCCCTTAATTCAGAGCAGTGAGAAGTTATATACTTTGTGAGGAATATGGAAAAACAGTTTACAATAGATGGCACAATGAAGAGTTGTACAGATATAGTACAAAGACATTGATCCATTTTGCAAAATTCTTTAAAGATGCCAGCGGGTTGATAAGATGGCTTAGAAATTGTGAAATTAGAAAGAGATACAGAACATTAAAATAAATCACACTAGAATGGTAAAAATCTCTTGCATAGTTTCAGTTGGGAGTATCACAGACTCCAGGAAAGGAGTGTAATCTAAGGATTTTGAAAGGATGCAAAGCAAATTTACGAGATGTTATCATGGATAAAGGATTTCAGTTGTGCTGAGCATTTTTATTATGGCTAACCCAGCGGCTGTAGGGCAATTTTTAGCATGGTTAATCCACCCAACCTGCACATTTTTGGTCAGTGGGAAGAAACCAGAGTGCCTGAAGGTAACCCACACAGACACAGGGCGAATGTGCAAACTCCACATAGACAGTCACCCGAGGGTGGAATCAAATCCAGGACCCTGGCACTGTTTTGGCAGCAATGCTAACCACTGAGCCACTGTGCTGCCCATTTTTTAGTGAACAGAGGCAGAATCTCAACACAAATGTACATTCAGACACAGGCAAGCTGAGAATTGACAGGATCGATCCAAGTAGAGCTTAAGCATATTCAAGCTAGTTGCGCTGAATAATCAGCTCTGAATTATTTTACGATGCCAACTTTTGGTTATTATCCACAGGCTTTGCAGCTTTGTGCTAAATCCTTACCTTGCCTTGTGCCAGTGGCCGAGCTGCTGACGGGATCTGCAAACAAGGACAAAATGACAAAAATTAAGTAGCTACAGTCAGCTAACTCAAGCTATAAAGGCAAGTTCTAGTCCCTGTGTCAAATACAATGGATTTGCTGCAATTGTATTCTTAATTTACATGTCAGATTTAAAGTGTAACTATCATCATCCTCTAAAACTTTATAAATCAAATCCTCACTGAACCACAGACTATTATGTAACCCTCTAACATTTTTGTTTAGCTGTAGATCCATAATTATAATTGGTCTGCTAATCCTGAAACTCTCACCTATGAGTCATTGCCTTAAATATCAACTATTCTTCAAACGTTGTAAAGGTGTTATAGTCCTCCTGGACCATAGGGCTGGTCTCTTGTTAGGCAGAGATAACTGGTGGTTGTTTAACCTGAAGGTCACCATACCTCAGGCAAGGGGAGAGGTTGAAAAGGAGAGTCCTTCATGGTAACCTCAGCTGGCATGAGAATTAACACTTATACTGTTAGTATTTTTCCACATTTAAAGCCAGCTGACCAGCCAGCTGGGCTAACTATAACATCCTTTTGAAGAGCTCTCTAGCCTGACAACTGAGTAAAAAATGTGCCTGTTCCTATCTTGAGAGGCATAGGAAGCTGTGATTTGTGAACCACCCATGTTCAGTCCTGTTGAGGATGACTGCATCCAAACTGCCTTCTCATTCGCCTGAGTGTAACATTGACCCCGTTGTGATGACCCTCCCTGCTGGTTGGGTCAGGGAGCAGCCTGGCTAATGTATACTGCAGTTATCCTCCAATTCTTAATGCCTGTCTCAAAGGGGAGTACAATGAAAATACTGTCATCTGATGGGATCATAATTGGCTACAAGCAATGGTAGGGAGGGCAAGTTGAGCAAAAATAGAGCCAGGGGAACGAGAAGACTCCTGAATGCATACATCTGCCAAGAATGCCATTCGCCTTATTGATGGTGGTCAACAAGAGGAGAGAGTAGTGCAGACAGGAGGGTATGTGGTTCTCAGGGAGTACCCTCTGAATGGAATGGACATAGATGGGCCGGGACATCAATTGCTAGAGACAGGCTGCAGCAAGCTCGCTGACCTCATGGAATGGTCAAGGGCAGTGACTGTATCTTCACATACCATACCGTACTGACCAAGCCCTCCTGCTGCTCAACACATCACAGCTTATGATTCACCTCTCCGCAGGCCTTCGCACGGATGATTCTGGGATTTCTAGCAGTCACGTACTCAGACTCAGCATGAATGAGTGTGAAGGAAAACGGTAGAAGGGGAGGATTGGGGGTGAGATGCACAGTGGGAGAGCCACGGTCACATCATCAGCAAACTTGCATTTCATATCAAAAAGCAAGATTGTTTCAGTATAGGTTCATCTGTTTTGATAAGATCAGGGCAGACTTTGATGTTTTTCTTTAAAAGGAATTTATTTACATGATATACAAGAGGATCACTGCAGCAGTCTCCCACTGTTCATCTCACCCCCAATCGTCTCCTTCTGCCCTGTCCCTTCATCCATTCACCTTTAAGTAGTTTTGGGGTGTTGAATCTCTCAGTCTCATATAACAGTTAATCTCAGTGAAAGTGAGTTTAGAAGGTACAGCATATTCTTTAACTTAATCAATCTGCTCTTTTATTCTCAAAAGCATCAAGTATCAAAACATCAAGTATCAAATATATCCAAATATCAAATTATTCCCAAATACAAATTGTAAATGGTCAGATGAAACCACACAAGTCATGCTTCTGCTAACTTAATACTGCACTTAAATTGAAACACATTACCCAGGAATGTGTAGCTGGCCAGATTTCAGAGTCACTTCCCTTCCTCCCTTTTCCTCCTTCCCTTTCCCTCTTCTCCCTCCCTTTCCTCTCCCTTTCTCCTCCCTCCCTTTCCTCTCCCTTTCTCCTCCCTCCCTTCCCCTCCCTTTCCTTTCCTCTCCCTCCCTTCCTCCCTTCCCTTCCTTCCTCCCTCCCTTCCTTCCTCTCTTTAATGGCTTGCTCATGCATTGTTTCTCTCTGTAAGTTATGATAGAGCACTCACATGACACTGGGTTTTATTAGAGACAAAAAAACTGCAGATGCTGGAATCCAATGTAGACAAACAGGAGGCTGGAAGAACAAAGCAAGCCAGGCAGCATCTGGTGGAAAGGAGCAATCAACATTTCGGGTATTAACCCAAAATGTTAACTGCTCCTTTCCTCTAGATTCTGCCTGGTCTGCTGTGTTCTTCCAACCTCCTGTTTGTCCACGCTGGGTTTTAGCCCTGATTTAGTTTCCATCCAATCAGAGACATCTACATTGTGTTGCTAAGGGCTGATTCTTCCAATTAGGGACCAGAACTGCATCCCTTCTCCTTGATTGGTCTGAGCAGTAGCCATTGTGTACGTGACTGTAGCATGTCCACTTGTTCAGCTTGAGCAACTCTGTCCCTCCATTTGAGCTTTAACTCTTTCTAGCCCTGCCCAACACCAGTTGTTAGAAATAGATTTTAATCAAAAGGTTCATGGCTAGTGAAAAAGTTCATGCATTCATTCACCTCCAAGTAGGTTTGGGGTTGTTAGGAATAGTTTTTAACCAGAAGACTCATGGCTAGTAAAATAATAGCAAATTGAAAGAACAAGGGTGCAATTCTGCAAAGATTAAAAGATTAGATAGAATATGAAGGAAAATAAAGAATGAATAAAAGATTAATAAGAAGGGACAAATTAAAGTTTATTAGACAGCTAGTGAGAAATATTAAAATGGATGAATTTCTACACGGCCACTTTCTCATTACAGAGAGACGACTTGTGGTGGTTTAACCTGAGGGTCACCACGCCTCAGGCAAGGGGAGAGTTTGAGAAGGAGAGTCCTTTACAGCAATCTCAGCTACAGTGGGAATTGAACCCACACTGTTGGCATTGCTCTGCATCACAAACCATCCATCCAACCAACTGAGCTAAAAAAGGAATGAATGAGTAAAGTGCTGTACTGGGTCAATCTGGGAATTAATAAAGGCAATGACAGATGATGTAAGCATCTGCTTCCACTGTAGAGGATATAATTAACATTCCAGAAGTAATTGTAACAGGGATGAAGGAACTTAATACAAATACACCATCAGGCAAAGTGTGCTGAGATAAATATTAGAACTAAAGGCTGACAAGCCCCAGGTATTGATGTAGTTCACCCTAGGACCTTAAAAGAAGTGACTAAATTTTTTTCTATTCATTTGTGGGATGTGGGCATCACTGGCTGGCCAGCATTTCTTGCCCATCCCTAGTTGCCGTTGAGAAGGTGGTGGTGAGCTGCCTTCTTGAACCGCTGCAGTCCTCCTGCTGTGGGTTGACCCACAATGCTATTAGGGAGGGAATTCCAGGACTTTGACTCAGCGACAGTGAAGGAATGGTGATATATTTCCAAGTCACAATGGTGAGTGACTTGAAGGGGAACTTGGAGGTGGTGGTGTTCCCATACTTCTGATGCCCTTGTCCTTCTAGATGGAAATGGTCGTGGGTTTGGAAGGTGCTGTCAGAGGATCTTTGGTGAATTTCTGCGGTACATCTTGTAGAAAGTATACACTACTGACACTGAGCGTTGGTGGTGGAGGGAGTGGATGCTTGTGGATGTAGTGCCAATCAAGCGGGCTGCTTTGTCCTGGATGGTGTCAAGCTTCTTGAGTGTTGTTGGAGCTGCACTCATCCAGGCAAGTGGGGAGTATTCCATCAGACTCCTGACTTGTGCCTTGTAGATGGCGTATAGGCTTTGAGGAGTCAGGAGGTGAATTACTCTCTGCTGTATTCCCAGCTTCTGGCCTGCTCTTGTAGCCACTCTGTTAATGTGGTGAGTCCAGTTGAGTTTCTGGTCAATGGTAACCCCCCAGGATGGTCATAGCTTGGCATTTGTGTGGTGCAAATGTCACTTAATTGAGACTGTAGATGCATTGGCTTTAACTTTCCAAAAGTTCTTAAATTCTGGAAAGGTCCCATCAGTTTGGAAAATAGTGGATGTGACTCCTCTGCTTAAGAAGTTAGGAAACAGAATGAGCAAAAGTAAGGCCCAGTTAGCCTAAGATCTTCCACAGTGAAAGTGCTGGACTCTATTATTGAGGAAAATATAGCATGGCACTTCAAAAATCTCAATGCAATCAAGCAGAGACAATATGGTTTGGAGAAAGGGATAGCATTGGAGTAATGTTATGGAGGGACTGGTTGGCAGCCTGCTCACACTTGCCCCATCCCTACAGAAGGAAAATTGTAAGTAAACCATCTATTCATTGGAAGCCAACCCTGGTGCTGTAGGGCACTAAATTGTCTAAAACATTCCCCCTCCCTCAGTGGGAGAAATTCCTGCCCTCAGGAGTTGCCCAGCTAATTCACCCACTAGTGCCATGAGCTCTATGCTCCTATAAACCTCCTTTCAAGAAAAATGGGAAGCCAATTCCCATTTTAACCAGCTCAGTTGACCCCTAATTATTCAAATACTGTTGGTGGGTGATCTGCCAATTTTGGGAGTGAGCTCAGGGATGGGTGTAGAAGATAGTGGGTTAGCCACCTGGTCAATATATTACATGCCCATCTACCATTTAACATCCAGCTAATGTTTGACTAATTTCGCTGAGTTCTTTGAGAATTAACAAGCAACATAGATGAAGACGGACGTGTGCTATACATAGGGTTTCAGAAGACATTTGACAAGTGTAACATCAAAGATTACTGCACAAAATAAGAATTCATGGTCTACGGGCAATATATGAACATGGATAGAGGATTGGTTAGATAATAGAAAACAGAGCATGGGCATAACTGTGTCATTTTGGTGTTGACAAGATGGAATAAGTGTGCTGCCACAAGGATCTGTGTTGGGACCTCAACAATTTACAATTTGTATCAATGAATTGAATAACGGCACTGAATCTTTGGTAGCGAAGTTTGTTATGACACAAACTAATTATGATAGTAAATTCTAAAGGGGACATAAAGGAATATAAATAGGTTGTGAGTAGGCAAAAATTAGGCAGATGGAGT